TAATCTTTTATTATACTTCTTCATCTTAGATTAATATTTTTTTCTATACACGAATTTTTTAAATTGATGCGGCTGAACTCTAATTTTTGACCTCCTTCGACTGCGATGAGGAATCTTGTTAAAATCTCATCATTAGATATTTTAGATTTTCCATATCTTCGAAATATTCCATGCTGTTAAGAAGTTAGTTAATATCATCAACAATACGTTTAAAAAACCTTTCAAAGGCATTATATACTTATTTAGATCTTTATCGCTATGTAATTATTAAATATCTTTTTTAAACGGTTGAACATTGCTTATTTCTATACTTAGTCATTGTAATTTTCAACTTGATACATATCAGCTAACGGAGATTTTTGCTGAAGCAGCATAGGTAGATTCGATATATTCAAAGTTTATTTAGGTTTTAATTTGATATATCTTCTTTTTTTTTTTTTTTTGCAGGAAGAAAAAACAAACAAAAAATATTATGCTAACGCTAATTACAATATAGATTATAATTTTAACGTAATGTTTGTTTAGCATGATGTAAATACGTAATTTTGTTTCTAGTTCCAAATGTTCATTCCGAACGATCATCCAATCACAACCTTGACACATTTTCTAGATGCTAAGCTCTATGATCAGCTTCTGATTCAATCGATTCACTTAATAATGGTTCATGTTCTTCGTCAGCAATCGACTGATTAATCTTATTGAAACCCAATAAACGACGGAAAAATCCAGGCTTATTTACTTCATTAGTTTTGTCTCTTTTAACTGGAAGCCATAACCAAGGGAGTATTCCCACTAATGCTGGGGCGTCATAATTCCGCATTCCAGTGTTGAGTACACCATCGTATAAGGTCATGGGTGGTTGAATATAATCTGTGTACAAGTCTGGAGCCGCACGATAAATTTCCATATCTGATAGAGAATTCATTTTACCTTTATCAAAAATATTATGGAAAGTAATTTGAGAGGACTCGTTATCAGAAGGTTTTGGAGAATTAGGGGTTGAAGTCGCGAAAGATGAGTCGTCGAGGTTTTCTTCTTCTTTTAAAGTCTTTAACGGAATGAAAGCAGCAATACGGGCATATGCTTCGTTTACATAATACCAGTATAAGGTAGTAACAACAAGAAGAGGAAATAAACTGGCTGCCATCTCATAACGATTTCTTAAAGACAGATATCCTATCATCATGAGCTGATATATATAGAGGCCAATAATGATTCGATGGAAAATTTTTGGCCAAATAAGACCAGAAGTTTCGTAAGGATGAAAATAAACTAAAAAAAGGTTAAAAAAAGGTTCATAAAAAAAATATTAAAAAAAGCACCTGTAAATAAATATAATTGCAACCACACATACCATATAATAATAAGTATTTATATGTCAAATAACCCAGGAAAAAA